TAGTCAGTTTTTCATTACTGTAACAAATACCTGAGATAATAAACTTAAAAAGAGAAAAGGTTTATTTTTGTCGCAGTTTGTAGGTTTCAGTCCATAGTTAGCTGGCCCTGTTGCTTTTGGGACTGTCGCAAGTAATATCATCTTGGTGGGGAACACATGGAGGAGAAAAGCCATTCATTTCCTGGCACAGAATGAAAAAGATAATAAGGGGCTGGAGTTCCAGATCCCCTTGGAGGGCATGCCCCCCAATGACCTAAGATCTCCCATGAGGTCCCATTTCTTAAAAGTTCCACTACCATCTAATAGCACCAAGCTGGGGACAAGCCTCTAACACACTGGTCTTTGTGGGACATTCTGGATCCGGATCACAGCAGGAGATCTTTGAGGACTTTCCAGTGCTTCATGTGATCTGGATTTTGAAGCAGGAGAGAAAATAGAGGACTGACATAAAGCTTGTGTGTCTGGAGGGAGAAAGTATTGGGAAGGAGGTGCGAGAGAAGATGGGCGAGGAGGGCATTGTCCCACTGTTCTGAAGCTTGAAGGCTACACTAAAGAGATTTACCTTTACCCCCAAAACAATAAGACCGACCACAGGGTTTTAGGTAGAAGAAGAACACTCTTAGTTGTCCCCATTCTTGTATTTCATATTTTTAAAAACCTGATGAATAAATGATCCTTATTATTTCCTTGAGGACCTAGGAAGAGGACCTGGAGCAAAGCCAAATGCTTTGCTTCCGAATGGGAAAGTGGCAGAGCTGAGACCTCATCCAAGGTTTTCCCTTTCTAAAGTTCATTCTCTGAACCTCAACACCATGCAGCACCTTCCTCCTAGGGCTGGGGGCCAGGTGAGGTATAGGAGCACAGGCAGGTCACTGAGCATAGCTCCCCTGCATGGTAGCTGATGAGTTGGGTTTGAGGTCTGGAAATGCTGCCCAGTGCCTTTGGATCTCAGTGTGTGAATACTAATCAGACTTTATTTCCATGCATCTCAATGATCATTCTGTAACTCTGGAATTTTCTAGATTGTTTTTCTTTCACTCTGACTCCAATTTACCCTTTTACCCTGCCCACCCTCCGACCCTGAAATTCTGCCCTGGGACACTGTACACGTGGCCTCTGATAAGAATCACTCCATTCAGAGTAGCTGGCAGGTAGGTGTTCTATTTGCTCAGCCCTGCGTGAAGCTGTCCACTCCCCTGTCCTCCCTGCCATGGAGCTGAAGCTGTGTGGTTGGCTTTCTTCTATTCTTTTGGAGATAAAGTATTTTCCCCTTCCAGGTAAACTTCACACTAGTAGTGTTCATTTAAATATTAATTTGCAATTGCACAATCCCTCCTGTGATATTACCCATCCTGTGGGGATTAGGCTGATGGAGCCTTCCCCTCTCATTTTAATCACACATTTCAGCAATGCTGAAACTTGTGGTGGAGTTGGATTCTTCCTTTCACACCATCCAAAATGCTCTGCAGAGCTAACCAAATTGAAATGAGCCCCTTCATCTTACACACAGATAATTAAACTTCAAATACTGTTTATCTCAGTCCCCAAATCCTCAGAATGCAGAAGCAAATTAATTTTAAATCTATATCTGCTTTAAATAGTAATTGTTTAATCAACAGGCTTGATGTATAATTATATTCTTTGTTCATACTCCTTGCAGGCTTGAATAGACCACATAATTCCTGGGTTGCTTTCATTTCTGTAATTAGATCATGTGACAGATCCTTACTATATTACAGTTGACTATAGTTGCTTCTCTCCCTCCCCCTTTTAAATTTGAAAATGGTTTCTCATGAATACTTAGATTATAACAGCCCCGTTTAACAGGAGCACTGAGTGTTTAGCTTTAATCCTTATTCTTCTTTCAACTATAATTTACACAGGAGCAAATTATTTTACTTCATCTGTTCAGAGCTAAGCGTTCTTGTCCTTCTTTTGAACTCCTGTTTTTCAAAAAAAAAAAAAAAAAAAAAACAACTTCCTGATCACATGGAAACACACAGAACCTCTAGAAGTTAGTATTATCCTGATAGAAGTGATATTTAAGGTTCAAGCCAAACAAACAAACAAAAATCACATCCTGGGGTTTTGTTTTCTGACCATCTGGGGTTTCATGGAGAAAGAGGAAGTAATTTTGCTTATCCCAAAGAGCAGTTTCATCTCCAGGAATTTATTTTACTTGCCTGGATTCTTCCCATCAAAATGAGAACTGGATACCCCATAAGTAGACCAACACTGAGATCTAGCATCTATGTGGAATTTATTTGCCCCACACCATCTGCCTTGACTTTCTCTGGGTCTGCGCTAGAAATATGGCTGCTCAGCCAAGCTGGCTCTTCTCACTTCCTTCACTGTTGTGTTCTCCAGCTCCTTACCCTTCAGATTCAATTTCCTTACATTCTTAGTATTTTTCTTCTTTTTATTATTGAGGTATGCAAAGTTGGATAAGGCTCTGCTGATTTTGGAATAATCAATATTATATGAATTGGAGGGAATGATTAGATGTTGGAGAGAGAGAGAGAGAGAGAGAGAGAGAGAGAGAGAGAGAGAGAGAGAGAGAGAGAGAGAGAAAACATAATTTAAAACAACAGCATTGACTATCTAAACTTAAAGTTCTAAATAACCAGGCTCTTTTCTTCCATCACATTTCTAAATTATGTTTAAGTTTACACTGTCACTCCTCAGTCATCTTCACTTTGTTTCTTATTTTCTTTCCTACCCATGGAGTATCTGTGTTTCTGATGGTTTCTTTTTATCCATGCAACTGTACATTTTTTTTTCAGGCAGTATTTCATTTTGCTATTTTGATTCAACTATGTATTTTTATGAGTTTCATCATCATATCCTGTCCATACTCTAACTGCCAGGGTTTTAAAAATTTTTAGTATTTCCTTATTCTTTTGGGTATTTGCAACACTTCTCAGTTTACATCTGTGGAATAAATTTCTGAATTTGTTATTCACCTTTCCAGATCACCCAGGAAATGCTGAATTAAATGTGACATGTTATAGTCACAGATTCATAATGATCCTGTATTAAGAGATGATAATATGATTTTTTTTTGGTTGAAGAATTCTGATCCACATTTCTTTCCTCTTTACTAGGAGACCAATCTTTATATAGCTTGCAATTATATATTTTCTAAGATTTAGAGTCATATGTAATCACACAAAAATAATCTGAGATTTGTTTTGAATTAGGTGTTATGTCAGTTTAGGGTTACTCAGGAAATACGACGAACACTTCTGGTGTTTCTATAGAGGGAATATAATACAAGCGCCTGGTATTAGCTCACAGCTAAAACTGAGAAGCCAAAAAAGAGATGGTGAGTGCCCCACAGATTGGCAATGGCTGGAAATTGTTCCAGCCCTAAGACTGGTGCATCACAGGTGGGGAAGGTAGCATGAGAAGCCAGAGTTGGGGCTCCTGGACAGAGCTGGGGGCTGGGTACACAAAGGATGGGATGACTTTTGAAACTGGAGTTTCCAGAAGAAATAGCACTGTCCAAGATACCCCAGGGCAGGGAGAGGAAAGAATAAAATTCTCAGCTTACCTTCTTCCACCATCAATCTTCTAGCCTTCCATTGGCTGATTCTTCATGGAGGCCCCCTGGTCAGAGATCCAATTCTTGTGTGTACAGAGCAGGGAATGTACAGAGAGTAGAGTTGAGAGCAAAGGGCTGAGAGACCAATCCAGATGTGGTCAAGTATACCACATAGCCTGGAATATAGTCCTTCACACAGTCTGTTTAGTGAACTTGCAGATTCACGACTAGCTGTCACCTACCTATCTACTCTGACCATGGAGTGGTCTTCTGAAAATTCCATTTTTCCTTTTGCTCAGGGACCCCTTCCCATCAAAACTCTCCAGAAATTTCCTCATCTGTAGTCCCTTGACAGCTCAGATCTAGATTTAGTTAAACATTTGTCTTGGTGCAACTCTTTACCAGAGGAAAGGCAGGAGACAAGATAAACCAGTATCAGATGACCACCTATTATGCTAGAGGCTATACTGGGAACTTGGTATAGTTTCTCTTACCATGTAATTCTCAGATATTAGTCTCATTTTTTTTTTTTTTGGTGGGATAATGAAACTTGGCAAGAGAAAGTAACTATCTCAAGGTGACAAAGTCTGGCTGGAATTGGAGCCAGGTCCATTTGACACTAAACCTTATTTTCACTATGTCCACCATGTCACCCTCCTGGCTTCATTGTGTTCAGAGAAAATAAGTGACTTACTAAAGGTCACTTAGTTGATAAGTGACACAAAATTTCCCTTGTAGTCATATTTGAGGAAGATTCCACTCACTTCTATTCAATTTAATTTTGCTTTCTGCCAGATACTCTTCTACCTGGAAATCCCACATCATGCTTTTGTTTCTTTGAGCTTCTGTGGAATTTCCACCATTTCTATGTAGATGGTGTCACTGCATCACTAAACACTTCAAATAAAGGAAATAAATTCTGTTACATTGTAATAGGAATAACAATTCTCTCTTGCATTTTCTCTTTATAAAATCCCATGCTAGTGACATAGTTTACTTTGAATGACTTATTGCCAAGTGTTCTCAAGGATGTGATAAGCACCTTGCATTTTGAAGGGAATTCCCCTGAATGTGCTGGGGAATGCTGTAGAATGCAGATTTTGATATGGCAGTTCCAGAGTGAGTTCTGTGTTTTTTTTTTTTTCTTCCTCTACCAACCTCCTGCTGATGCTGTGAGTCCAGGCATCATGCTTTGAAAAGTGAGCCTAGAGCACAGGGTTTCACACTGAAGACAGCTGAAAACCCACCAACCATCACAATGGACATGAGAAATCCACAGTTGTGATATATTTGAATCTAGGGAACTGAAAACAATCGGCAGGTCAAGTCAAGGGTGTTAATGTTGGAAGGCAAGAAACAAGTAGTAATATATTATTATTGCTGTAAATTAAGTGGGGTCACTAAGTTTTGCATGGTCAAGATATGTTTTCCTTTCAAGTGTAGTTCTTACAGTGTCTTGCATTTTAAAGTTTTATTTGAGGGAAGGATGACTGCAGAAATGTGAGCACTGATGGATGGCCTCTGAGTTGTCCTTGGAAGGGAGAAAAAAGAAGGTGTTCTTTGGCTCTGCTCTGGCTTGGTGATGGTCTCTACAGAGGATAAGGCAGGTTTTCTGGATGTTGACTTGGGGAATATATTGGAAGATGCCTTTGATGTACTGTGATGGCTCAAGTTTCTTGTTCTCTTTTGCTGGAATGAAAAGCAAAGAAATTGTTCCTAAGAGAGGAAGGAATACAGCTGATTATGTACCCATCACTCCCCACTTGGCCCCCCACGAATGCAATGTGTTTTGATGGCCAGTATTCTGGGGAATGGAGCTTAGTGAGGGTTCCCCACTCAGCCACCTCCTCTAACCAGGTGTTTGAATAGATTTATAAATTTCCCTGGCCATGGAGATGGGTGGCAGTGCTGCTGGTCTTTCAGGGTCAGGGGATAGAGGGCTCTGAGCCCACTGTTCACCTCCTCTCAGGGATTCCTGGGGAAGAATGGGAAGATGGATGATATTTCTTTTCCCACCTACTCCCTGGGTCTCAGGAAAGTCTGCTGTATGCCTCTTTGATTATCAGAATCCAACAGAATATTTTAATGGGAATCCAACTTTACCTGAGGTACTGGCCAGAATCAATCTTTTTTCCATTTTCAAAAATCAATACTGTATTTCCTATAATTCAATCTCCTTGTCTCCCTTCCAAATCCCTGTTGCTGATGAAAAAAAAAATCATTACAGCCTTTGTCAGACATTTAACTATCTATTATCCAGACCATCTGCTACAGATTTTTTTTAGAGTTTTATTTTAGGATTTTAATGAAGTTTTTTATTTGTTCATTTAATATCTTTTACACTAACCATTACTTCAAGGACTCAGATTTCTTCTAACCATCTGGAAGAGCATTGGATCAATCTCATGTACATTGTTGATTTTGGAATGGGATCAGAATTTTTTTTAAAAGATTTATACAATTTTCCCTCATTGATCATGTTCCAGAATGTCCTAGCCCATTGCTTAACTTTTATTCACAATATGGTATTCCCTAGCTACAGGAATCTAGTGACTTTTATTGATCTTGATATTTTTGGGATAGTTTTCTTTGAAAGATATTGGGATGACAGGGTTGGGGCAGAAAGATTAATCCTGATAGACAGAATAGTAATTATATACTACTATTACGCTCTTTTCTAATCAATTAATTTTTAGGAATTTCTGATTTTGAATTTGGGTAAGTACGTTGCTTCTCTACTTTCTCCTAGAAAAAACTAAGTCCCTCAAGCACAAATATCTTGTATTTTTATCTGTGTATTTAGTACTTGACCATAATTACTCAATAAATATCAGATCAACGAATTAATTAATGGTTGTCTGATTGGCAGATATTAGGGTCCAGCAATAGAAGTCCTTTTGAATTCTGCAAACAAGTGATTGGGAGGCGTAGGGTGATTTTTTCCTTCATAAAAGAAAGCCAGTTTCCCTAAAATTAATATTTTTGATTATTTCCTGGTTTGTTCCTCCCCATTTATTTACAAGTGTAGTCACTCCATTTCTGTGTGGAGAGATTCTGTATGGAATCCCAGTCTTGATTTATCATTTCTGTATCTGGTGGAACATCTCACCCTGAAGGCAGAGGGAACTGCAAAAGGAGACAGTGCCACAGAAAGGACTTTGGAGTTGGGTGGAAGTGGGTTTGAGTGCTGGCCTTACTTCCCAGGGAGGGAACCTTGAACATCCTACTAGTGCCAGCTCTGTAAAATGAGGATGTTAGTGAGGAACCGATGGGATAATACATTGGATTATAGTCAGGCCTCCAAAGCCTTACCTGGCCCCATCTTCATTCATCTCACCACTCTCTCCTTGCTCTCTAAGTTTCACCCACTCTGCCTTTTTTTTCAGTTTTTCTGGAGCTCTGAGCTCCTGTGAGTTGCTTATAGGACCTTTGCACATTTTCCTGCGACATCCCCAGTCTTTGGGTAATTCTTATTCATGCTTTAAAGCTCAGCTAGAGTATCATTTCCTCAAGAGAATCTGACCTCCTCCAATGAAGTGACATTCCCCAGAAGGTGCACCTTGAACTTCATGAGTCTGCCCATAATTCATGTGCATAATAATTGTGTAATTGGTCATTCAATTCTTCCTACCCTTTCCACCCACAAGTATGGAAGCTCTGTGAGGGCAGAGACCATGCCTGTCTTCCTCATCTTTGTGTCTGTAATATTTAGCAAACTGTCTGGCACAAAGCAGGAGCTTAATAACAGATGTTGGATGAATGCAAGTAATTAATAAAATTCATACACACTTAGGTACCCAGTAGTGTTTATGTCCATCACAACCTCTGAACTGCATTATTTTATTTTTTTTTTGAAGTTTTACATGGTAGGTGGGAAGTAAGAAAAATGAAAAGGGGTCATGGCTTTTTATTTTAAATATTTATATTTTAGTTGTAATTGAACACAAACCTTTGTTTTATTTGTTTATTTTTATATGGTGCTGAGGATTGAACCCAGGGCTTCACACGTGCTAGGTGAATATTTTACCGCTGAGCCACAACTCCAGCCCTCGAGTCATGGTTTGAATGGGTACATCCTGACCTCCTTCAGCTGTCTCAAAATTCCTTCCTTGGTCATTTGAGTCCATGACTCTGAAACCTCACCTTGCACCAGAGTTACCAGAGTTACTTTGAAATCTGTAGATAAAAATTTTAATCATTGTAGGCTGAGTCCTGTTCATTGGCATCTTTAAAATGCTTCCCAGGTCATTCTAACATGTAGCCAGGATTGAAAACCACTGCTTTGAGTAATTATTTTGAAAACATTTGTTAAAATTTATGAATATCTTTGACTATGAAAGTCATTGTGGTCTTTTGGAGCAGGTGAAGCACCTTAGCATCTACCAGTACTTTTGTGCGGATTGAACAGAGTGTCCATCAGCGAAAAGGAGGGAAGAGGGACTAATCGTGTGATAAATTCCCTGAATGTGCATAAGCCTTGGTGGGTGGGGGGTATGATCAGCTGGAGTCCTACAGAGGCAAACCTCTTCTTCCCAGCCTTGCTCAGGGAAGTCTTTGTCTAAATATACTGGAGTTCTTCTTATTTCCATGCAGTGAATATCACAGGGCTGGTCCTAGACGTACCTCTTCCTCAATGAAAAGTGCTGGAATGGGCTTCTACTGTGGGAACAGCTTCAAGGACACTAACTCTGGAAGGTGCTAGAGAGGGGAGTGGTTTGAATATGTTATGGCAGAGGATTTGAAAACCAGTTGGCAGAGATTAGGGGAAAGAGTCAGCAAGCTTTGGCTTCAAAGAATGAATTTGTAGAGTCCAAAATGGAAAATGGAAAAAAAAATATAGAATAATAATTCAGGTCATCATAACTCTCTGGTGCTACAGAAATGCTAAGTCTTAATATATGTTAAAGCAGGGGTTGGTGAACTGGGGCTTGTAGGCCAAATCCTGCCCACTGCCTGTTTTTGTATAACTTGTGAGCTAAGAATGGTTTTATGTTTTCAAGTGCCTGAAAAAATAATCAAAAGAAGAATAAAAATTACATGAAATTCAAATTTCAGTGTTCATAAATAAAATATTGTTGGCTCACCAATACACCCATTCGTGTATCATTGCTATGAAGACTGCTTTCATTCTATGAGGCCAGAGTTGAGTAGGTCCAACAGACTATGCAGAAAATGTTTGCAGAAGAAACTTGCTAACTTCTAGGTTAAAGAATCAGATAAAGATCTGACCAAAGCATTAACCACACATGAAAAGGGGGGTGGAGAGAGGCAGAGAAATGAGGAAAAATACCAGGCTTATAAGTATCAGATACTTTATGTACATTACCATACGGATCCTCTTAGCAAGCCCAAGGTAGGGTCAGGGTCCTGGCAAAGCACAGACTCACATTCAAATTAAGTTAGTTGAAACAGATAAATAAGTGGACTCTTTATATATGGGAGCAGTTGTAGGGATCCATAAAAAATAGTGCAATGTCCTTGAATTAATAACAAAGAAGCTGACCACCTCAAAGCATGGAGGGTTGAGGAAAAAGTAGAGTTTCCAGAATAAAAAAGGAAAGAGTTATGGATACGGGGTCACCCTGAGAGCCACAGTGACCTTCAGTTGAGGGATCCAGATGGTCAGATAGGATCCATGGGAAGCTAGCCATAGTCATAAATACCCTACCTTTGCCCTGCCCTTCCTCCAGTCTCCTGCTGGGAAGGAGCCTGCTGGACTCAACCAGAAGTGACTGTTGGAAACACATGTAAGCCTGCTAAGGCATTCTCCTTGGGTCAGTCTCCTGGGGGAACAAAGAAGACTGGAGAAGGGCATAAGGGAACAATCTCCTGCACAGGTGTGTGCCTCTGTCACCTTTACTCTGCACTTGCTCACTGTTTTAGGAGTGATCAAATTAGCTTTGGTCAAGCTGGACAGTGGCCCTCAGGATATGTAGAGCTGGGATTCAAGCCTAAGCCAACTGATTGCAGGACTCATTGTCTTACCTGTGATGTCGTCCTATTAGAGATGAAAGAGAACGTGAGGGAGTTCAGTTTTATTCCCTCCAAGCTCAGGGAGCCTTCTGTAGCACACTTTTTGGGTGGTCCTTTGGCCACCACTGATGTATCTGTCTATGTAGGGATAACTGCAGTCATGCATTCATTTTGCTCTCCATTGGGAATTCACTTTTGTAACCAGAAAGTTCTTTCTTAGATTGGGGTGTAACATTTACTCACTTAAAAAAAATATATATGAAATTCTGAGTTTTCTTTCTACTGTCTTAGATTTTTCTCTTTAGAGTATGTAGAGAAATTCCTACCTTTTCTATTTTTATGTTTTTCCTCTTCTTGACCTCCTTATTGTTCTTTTCTATTTTCGGTTGTATGATTTGTGTGTGTGTGTGTGTGTGTGTGTGTGTGTGTGTGTGTGTATTCCCTGCTTTACCCAGATGGCCATCTCCCATAGTCTCCTTCATCTTTAATCAATCTTTAATCAGAAGAGTTAAAAGGACCACTTGGACTATAGATTTTCTTCTTTTCTAAAGGTTGAGCTCTTCAAAAGCATGGGGGGTATATTACTAAGCCTGTCAATGGTTGTCCAGTCTTGTGTGACTCAGCTGAAGTGGGTGGTGGTCAATGAAAGTGGTCCCTCCAGGAAGTAGGCACAAGTTGTGACTGGCCACAGCAGGCCCACACATATGCTTTTTTGC